TCAACCCCCCCCCCCCCCCCCCCCCTCCCACCCCCCGGACCCTGGAAACAGTTACGTCTCGACGGGAGGCAGCGTCAGGGTCTCCTCCACGCTGATCGAAGGCAATCGACTCGCCGCCGTGGAGGTGAAGGCTGACAGGCAGGCTCCTCCTCATCCTCCTCCTCCTCCTCCCAGCAGAAGCAGCAACAACAAGAAGAGCGGATACGATGACGGCGACAACAGCAACAACAACGAGAGCGATGTCGCTTGCTCACAGGAGGAGGGGGAGGGTCACCCAACCCTGACGGGGACCTCGAAGTCCTCGTCGTCGAACGGGGGACCAGCAAAACCAGCAGTAACATGGAACTCGAGCAGTAGCGCCGCCCTTGCGGGAGGGGAGAGAGAAGAAGCGGTTCAGCTCAATGAATATTACTGTCGTCGTCATGATCGTCGTCAAGGTGCCGGCACGACCGGTGCGGGTACAAGTTTTATTCAAGGCGGGGGGAAGAACACGCCTGACTGCTGCTGCAAGCGTTGCGGCTGTCGCGTGTCGCTGGGGTCCGGCAACGCCGTGGCGGGAAACGGTCTGAACGGCGTCATGGGGGACGGGGATGGTTGTTGACTGTCCCCTCCCGACGGCCCCGTCTCCACGTCCGCCCGTCGAGACCAAAGGCGGCGACCAATATCAGCATGGCAGAGAGTTAAGGACCAAAGGTGGTGACCGATGACAGCTATTAGCGGAGAGCTTTTTCCCAAAGCGAGACGTTGAATGAAGGTATTGTACCGTGTATCGTTCGAACTTCACATTGTTCGTCGGGGTGAGAGAAGCTGTGCGGGGGGAACGGTTGAAAATATATCCCTTGGCACTGTCGCAGTCATTGCCAATGATTTTCTTCGGATAGTCGACATGTTCAATTGAACTCTGCCCTACCTCGTCGGACGCTCGAAACTCAACTCCGTCTCGGACTATTTTTATCTGGCGGAGACGGTCGGTATGTTGGAGTCATGCTTTATCGCAAGTGGAGCTACAGAAGGTGTTGTACGAAGGATGTGTCGCGACGACGACTACCCCGTACACCACATCGGGTGTAGCGCGCAGCGTTCACAGAAAGGATGCGACAAATCCATCAACTGAAAAGGACATTAGGTGCTAAAATGTCACTGCGTGAGGTTTACGGCAAGAGCTTTTCTTGGGGTCATAATAGCAGGTAGCTTTGCCGGGCGAACAACCCTGCCATCCACGACAAATCGACCAATCAATGTGTGTCCTCGCTCACACGATCTTTCGGTTGTGCGATTGGCACTCGACATCCAAGTGCAAGGTTGGGATCGTTGTTGCTCCATCATCATCATGATCATCATTTTCCTTCTTCATGGCCAGGCAAGAACAGAACGCACGTACACACTGCTGCCGGATACACGCAGACGCAACACACACGCCGTAGCAAGCACTACCACCACCGTCACCACCACCATCTAAACCTAAACAGGAACAGACAATACACACGTGCGCCACTCATCATCAGTGAACCGCCAAAATCCGTCGAATTTCGACAACAAGCGCCACGTGGTGGACACGAGGCTACGAGCCGGCAACCATGCAGGTCAAGTCAGCCGCAAAGCTTGCGCTTGCGCCGGCAGGACTTGGCCCTGCCAAATCGACCTAAACGCTACTACTAACGGCTCTGGGCTAATCTCGAGAACTGGCGTGGGTTTGGTTACTATCATCATCCCTCTGTTCATGATATCGCAGCTGCTTTTTCTCATCGTCCAGGCAACATTCCTCCACAGGGGTCCCCGCAATTGGTGTAAAAAAGGGGACGGGTGGGGATGAGTTGGGTCACGACAACATCGGAACAATCTACAAAAATGTATACACTTTCTTTTACCTAAATATTGTGGGCACCCAGTCAAGTCATGATGAGAACCGAAGCCTAGCCCTCTCGAGCCCCCCCGCCCCCGCCCCCACCCCCGCCTACGCATGTGTGGAGACCCTACATTTTCTTGAATGGAGTTATTTTTTTTCTCAAATCTGGTTCTTCTCCCCCTCTCAAGGAACCAAGGAGGAAAACAAAGACAAAGAATCAGAGGCACTGCGATTTTTTTGGTGACACTGGGGGAGGGGGGGTAATACCGTAACCTAAATCTAAGGCCTCCGGCGCGGCAGAGAGGGAGAAACCGGCAATGCAGCGCATGATCCGGTGATCCGGCGGGCGCCACCCCCACAACGTCCGGCCCAACACCGCTAGCGATCGATTACCAACAGAATCCAGGCCCCAACACACTCATGACTGCAACACTACCGCACAGCTAGCTGATGCGCGGTTAGAAGCAAGGACGCAGCAGCAGCAGCAGCAGCAGCAGCAGCAACGGCTCTTAAATGTCGAACATGACAGCGGCAAGCAGCGACCAACTTTCAACCCATGGCGATACGAGCCTCCAACCCAAGTCCCTCACAACTTGACTACTAGTAGTACGTTTCAAACGCAATCCGAACGTACACTGTGTACACCACAAAGACGGCCTCCGTGGCAGGGAGGGGGGGGGGGGGGGTTCCC